GATGTAGCCTTTTGACAAGTTTTCCTTTAAGAATTCGTCCAATTTCTGTTGCTCTAATGGTGACATGGGATAGAGCTTCTGATTCTTTGGAACGAATCCTTCTTTGAGATCTATTGCATGATCATAAGGTCGTCGTTCAGGGAATCGTTCTGAACTTTTCTTGTCAAAGACGTCTGCAAATTCCTTGTACCGTTCAGGTAATTCCGCTTTGCTTTTGGCTTCCTTCTCAGCTTCTTGAGCCATTCGCATTGCAGGGTTGACCTTCTTGCCAGTGTCCGTTTGTCCAGTGATAAACCGTATGAGGAGATCGTCTTCCTCTGCCTTAGTTCGTGCAATTAGGGCGTAGATGTCATCCAATTTGATCTTCCATTTCGGTGTACTTTGGAAGATGGGGTCATCGACATGTGCCAGCAGTGGTCCTTTGCAGTATTGGCGTTTGATGGAGAATTCCTCATCAGGGATTTCTTCAATGGTTACGTTTAGGATGGATTTTCTTTTTCCAAAGTCAATCCGTCCAGTAACCCAGTTGATCTCTGGGTTGTTCTTCTGTAACCAAGGTAGTCCCAAAATAACGTCTTCTTTTCCCAGGTCGGTGACCAAAAATCAGACAGAGCGGTGATATGCACTGACACACAACAATCACCAAGGACCAAAGGAAATAAACCTAAACCCCGTGATATGGGTGAAGGCGGTCCGAGACAACTGAAGGGTATTTAATAGTTCGAGGGGGAGAGGAGGAGTAAGACGCCGTAGGGTAGTCCGTAGGAAGACCTAGAAAAATAAAACAAAAGCCTTGAAGCCTGAAACAAACGCTAATGGACGCTCCGGAGTATTTATCTCCGGAAAGTTGCAAACAAAGTCGCAAACCACGGAACCGAGTGTAGGTCCGGGCCCACGGGAGTAGAAAACGCTAGAAAGACTTGTTTAATTTTATTTCGCTATGTGAGACTCACCGGAGCTAATTGAATCGATGGCGGAGATAATTCACTCGATGAGTCAGGCCTATTGGCAAAGCTAGGATCGGTTATAATTCGCTAAGTTCGACGCTTTCGAACTTCTCGGGTCGCTGAGATCGTAACTCTAATTCTCTGAGATGGTGAAGTCGAAACTTATTTTTCTGTACTCTACTTTGTACAATTTATACTACAGGAATGGCTTTGCGACCGTCCGGAGATAAATAACAAATAAACGCCGCTACCCACAGGATTGCTCAGCACTTTCCTCCGCTATACCATACACCATACGACTCTCTTGCACTCCCACTTGCTCTTTCCAGCCCCTATAGGTCACCTCGACGCTTCGCCACCTGACCCAAGCAGTCCCATCACTCCGTGCGACACGCCGGTCACGTGCTAATTACCTCCGGCCGCTTGCTGACTGATGCTGGCCTCATGGTGACTCGTATGCGTCCGCACCTTCGGTATTTTGATGGAAACGAGAGAGGGAGTATGCTGGAGGGTGGGAATGAGGACGACACCCCTCGATGGAAGTGTCCGCGGGCCCCGGAGCTAATTCGCCTAGAAGTCGCATAGATTAAGTCACCCCGGAGCTTGCGTTTGCGGAGATAAATCGTGGAATGGGTCCGTGTATGTCTTGGGGATGCTAGGAAGTCCGGAGCTAAATAGAGCAACTCTTTAGAGCCCATAGAAGCCTAGTGGCGTGTGAGTGCTGTGTCGAATAAGCTCCGGAGGGCTTGTACGATGTGCTGAGTCCGTGTTTTCGGGGGTCAGACAATCCTGAGGCTTATCACCTCCCCCTGACTGAAATCTTGACTGTCCTCAGTCTCCGCGTTGCGACCTGCAGATAAAAAGGGCTCCTTTCGCCCTCTCATACGCCGAGCTCCAATCTTTCCCTCATCTCTCCGTTCCCTCGCAGCGAGATAGCTCCAGACCAACTTGCACGCCCGTATCAGATTATTGCGGAGCTGCGGGAGCAGTCGATCCTGGCTCGTGAAAATGTGGTAAGCCTCCGGGAGGAAAATACATGGTTCCATCGCGAGTTGGATAAGGCGCAGAGGGTGAATGATCAGGCGCGGCAGGAAGTGTGGAAGGCCATCGAGGAGTCGCGCGCGGACCTGCACAACCTGCTGGAGGAGCATGGGAGGGTGTCAACGATGGTGATTGACCTGCGGACCAAGGTGAATAATTCGGTGCTCGCCCTGCGGAACCAGATCTTGGCCGCCCATGCCCATCTCGTGAATATTGAGTGGCTGATGGACCAGCAGGCTTCTGAGGAGTCGCGCGAGGTGGAGAAGACTCTGGACAGTGAGGGAGAGGTACGGGGTCGTGCTCCAAGCCCTTCCTCCTAAATGCGGACCTTTTTCGTTTCCCTTGTCTTCATCATTCGTATTTTGCTCCGGTTGCCTTGTCTGCGGTCCTTCGTCCTGTATAATATATCTGCAGTGAATATTGTCCGCTCAGAATAAGGAGGGTGGAATCATGAGATAAACAAAGAGGGTCCATTCTATAATACAAAATAAGCGAATAGGAGAGCGTTTAAGTGGTGCGCAGAGTAGAGGATCGAATAAAATGA